TTAAAATGAACAGGGATTTTATTTATCGAAACTATTTATTGAAAAAAAAAAAATTTTCCCTTCGTGACGTCACGGGATACGATAAATAATAATAATAATAATAATAATAATAATAATAAATTATTGATAATTGTGAATTATTTTCACAAGAAAAAAAAAACATGCATGTTTTATTTTCCGTCGTGTGATAAAATAAAAACAAAAAAAAAAAGTGTTACGGTTAATTTTATTGATTTATGACGTTAAAAAAAAAAAAAAATTTAAATATTTACAGTTAAAATAAAATAATAATAATAATAATAATTTTCGATTCGTTGTAACGATAAATAACAATAATAATAGTAATAAATTTGCAGAGTGTGATTGTTTTAAAAAATGTATTCTGTCAATTTTTTTTTTGAATAGAATTTTAATATTTATTTATTTATTTTTTTTTTTATTACACGTGTGATTATTATTATTATTTTCAAACCGGTTTGTTACGTCACATATATAAATTTCCCAAAATATTTAAAAATTTTATGTATATTGACATTAATATTTAACTTATTTACCAAATCATAAGAGAAAAAAGTATCAAAAAATATATTCAATGAACCGGAAATGGTAAAATTAAAAATTTATTTTAAAGTAAAAATAATAATAATAATAATAATAACAATGAGTATTTAACTAATGACCATATACATGTGAACGATTTTTATTAATGATTAGTTTAAAAACAAAAAAAACTTATTAATTTGGTTATAATAATAATAATAATAATAATTTAAAGTTAGGATAAACGTTAAAGTTTATCTTTGTTTTTTTTTTTTTTTAATTAATTTTTTTTTAGTTGATTAAACGATTAATAAAATTCGAAATTTGTTAATAATGGATAAGTTAATATCACGAAATTATTTTAAGTGTTTTGTGTTGTAAACATTTTTTTTTTTTTTGGGGGGGCGGGGGAATTTATTTTGCACGATAAAACTAATAACAAAAAAAAAAATTTTAATTAGTTTAATTAATCTTACGCGAAAATTTAATCAAATTATTTATTATTATTATTATTTTCTTACTCGCGATTCATAACAAAAATAAAAACAATAAAAAAATAAAATAAATAAAAATAATTGATAAACTTTAATAATAATGCCTTGTGCACAGATCCCGAGTAACAACTGATAAAAATATTCAAATGCTTTACAACAACAGTTACATCTTTCTCTTATCACTAAAACCACAGCCCGCCCTTCTCCAATCACAAATTATTATATTTATCTCTTATTTTTTATTATTATGATTTTTAACGTCTTTACTTGGTTTCTGTTGTTTTATTTTATTTATTTAATTGTTTTTGGATTTGTGTG